CGCCTCCCCCCCGCCGGCGCCCCCGGCCCCCGCTCCCGCTCCGGCTCCGTGCAGCTGCTGCTCTCCGACTGCCCCCCTGAACGCCTGCGCCGCTTCCTGCGCATGCTGCGCTTCAAGCTGGCTGCTGCCCCCGGTCCCGGGCCGGCCTCCGCCCGCGCGCAGCTGCTGGGCCCGCGGCCCCGCGACTTTGTCACCATCAGCCCGGTGCAACCTGAGGAACTGCGACGTGCGGCAGCCACCCGGATTTCGGACACCAAGCTTGTAAAGCGGCCCGCGGAGCCCCAAACAAGAGCCGAACCCAGCACCGTAAGGACGGGAAAGGGAGGACGCCTTTGGGAGTGGGTGTGCCACTCTTTAAGATGGGAGAGACCAAGGAGGTCCACGGTTCCCGGGAAGAGAGTGGAGATAGTTGAAGGAGCTGTGGTTATCTCGCAAGAGATGCTCATCTGAATCTGAGTATGACACGAGTTTGGGAATCGTGTCTACGCCTCGAGTGTAGTCCCCTGAGCCTGGGTAAGCAAGACCTGGAAACCGAGGCCCAGGCCACACTGCAAGAGAAAGCAAGAAAGGAGGCCTGGAAAGGAGATTTCACAAGGAAAAGTAGGAGAGTGTAGTAGGCCTGGAGAAGAGAAGCTTTTTGGAGAGACTGGAGTGGTCAGCAGTGCCAGGGCGGCCAGCAGTCCCAGCCCATCGGGGTCCAGCGTCTGGTGGGTTTGACCATGTAGATCCCAACCACAGAGCTTTGAGGCTAAGCTGTCGAGTAAGTAGAGGTGGGGGGAGGGGCCCTGCCTAGTTGGGTTTTGCTTGGGCATTGCAGTGTGAGGAGACAGGCTTGTTCTGAGAAGAGAAGGGAGAACGACAGTTGGGTGACAAGACCAGACCAGAAGGGTTGGAGAACCCAGGGGAAGGATCTGAGGGAGGATCCAGGCCCACACACTGGGGTCTTAGGCACAAGGAGCGAGACCTGGACTCCAGTAGTAGATAGTGGGATCTCCAGGTGAAGCCCAGCTGCTGCAGTACACTTTGCTAATACGCTGCGCTTCCCTGACCTGGATTTCAGGAGGGCTCAGGTTTGATTCTCACTCCAACCTGAAGGCTGGGTGCAATGGTGAGCCCCTATAACCCTGGCCACTGGGGAGGCTGAGGCAGGAGGATGGCAAGCTGGCGGTTGGCTGACCTGGGCAGCACAGAGAGACGGTCAGGAAAAATGAAAAGAGCCAGGCCACTCGCCGTAGTCCCAGGTAGAAGGCTGAAGCAAGAGGATTTCAACACAGTTAAGACCCTGTCTTTTTGGAGAGGTTTTTGCCATAGGGTGCGTACATTCGCCAGACAGACAGAGACAGAGAGATAGAAAGCAAGAAATCACCCCCCAGGGGGGATGGCCACACTGCAATCCCTTCTCCTCCATTCTCCTCTCAGGATCTTGGGCAAGCACGCACACGCGCCCGGTGTGAGTTTTAACCCACCAGTTCTGGCACGCGAACCGCAGTCAACTACATGGAAGTCCAGCGACATAGCCATTACACTAACTGCTGGTCCCAAGACCCTGTCTTTAAAAAAAAAAAAAAAAATCTCAGGATCAGCAGATGGCTTAATGGTTACATCAAGGGACTCCCACGCAGTCAAGCGCCATGTGAGTCCCAGATCTGGAGGCTTGAAACTGATATCGGGCATGAATGTGTGTGTGTGCCCAACCCAAAATGAGAAGGATGGAGAAGGGGTTGCGGCATGGCCATTCTCCCAGGGAGGATTTCTCGCTTTCTGTATCTCTGGCGAATACACACACCCTATAGCAAAAATCTCTAAAAAATAAAATAAAATAAAATAGATCTCCAGGTGAACGAGGGCTACCCAAGGGCTCTAAGGAGTAAAGCCCCCAGAAGCAAAGGGCTAGCAGGCCTAAGACAGCACACAGGCCCAGATAGGCGGGAGCAAGGCCTGGGGCATGAGAGGAGGCCCTGAGACAGCTCTGTCCCCCCAGGAGCCCCCAAAATGGCCCCTGGCTGTGAAGAAGCTAAGCTTGCCCCCAACCAAGCCACAGCTCTCCGAGGAACAGGCTGCCGTGCTAAAGGCCGTCCTGAAAGGCCAGAGCATTTTCTTCACTGGGAGTGCAGGTAGTCAGGGGCAGAGGGACAGCGGAGAAAGGGCAGTGGTGGGGTGGGATGTGGGAGCAGGTGGCCCTGACTCTGCCTCCTGCTCAGGGACAGGGAAGTCATATCTGCTGAAGCGTATCCTGGGCTCATTGCCCCCAACAGGCACCGTGGCCACGGCCAGCACTGGGGTGGCAGCCTGCCACATTGGGGGCACCACCCTGCATGCCTTTGCAGGTAAGTGGGGGCCCTGGAGCTTGAGCTAGGAGCGAGCCAGGCTGCAAGAGGGAAGCAGGGAGGTCAGGGTTGAGGAGGGGCTGCAGCCTCGGCCCAGGCTGAGTCATGTTACTTCCAGGTATCGGCTCAGGCCGGGCTCCCCTGGACCAGTGCGTGGCCTTGGCCCAGCGGCCTGGTGTGCGGCAGGGCTGGCTGAACTGCCAGCGGCTGGTCATCGACGAGATCTCCATGGTGGAGGCAGAGCTGTTTGACAAGCTGGAGGCTGTGGCCAGGTCAGCTTGTGTGGGGAAGGCTGTGAGAGCCAGATTCCCGGGGCCTCCCGTGTGTACCTGTCCACCTGGTCCCTGAACCAGCACTCTCCTCCAGAGCTGTCCGGCAGCAGAACAAGCCGTTCGGTGGGATCCAGCTCATCATCTGTGGGGACTTCCTGCAGCTGCCGCCTGTGACCAAGGGCTCCCAGCCACCACGGTTCTGCTTCCAGGTACCACTCACACCTGGCCCTGCCCACCACGGGGGTACGCTCCGCTCCCTGACTCACCCCGCACTGCCCACCAGGCCAAGAGCTGGAGAAAGTGTGTGCCGGTGACCCTGGAGCTGACCGAGGTGTGGAGGCAGGCGGACCCCACCTTCATCTCTCTGCTGCAGGCCGTGAGGCTGGGCAGGTGGGCCCACTGGATGGAGAAGGGGATGGAGTTGGGGGTCCCAGCAGAGCCTGGACACTGGGCAGCTCAGACAGACTGTGGTCAAGAGCTCCATGACCCCAGCAACGATGGTCACTCTGAGCACTGGGACCCAGGCTCCCTCAGGGCAGGGTCCCTGTCACCCAGCACAAGGACTGACAGAGGGGCAAGGAAGGAAAGACAGATGGACACACAGGAGGAATTCAGCGATGTTAGTACCCCGGCTTCACAGATGCAGAAACCGGGGAGTTGAAGAGGTGGAGCGACTGGTCCGAGCTGGGTGGGAACCCGGGTCTGACTCTGAAACCCACATTCCTTCCACTAGAGCCTGGGGGGGCCTCTTGGCTGAAGAGGGGTGGTTACAGACCTGCTCTCTCCCTCGCTAGGATGAAAGGTCAAAATGCCACCAAGGCTGTGCCGATGTGGGAGTGGAAAGGAGGCCAGGAGGGAGGAAGACGAGGGCCAGAGCTGGGCCTGGGAAGACGAGTCAGGCCAGGAGGGGATGAGGGTGGGGAGTGCTGTGGGGATCCTCGGCTCGGACACAGACCGGCGTGAGTGGGAGGACACAAGGTGGAGGGATAGAGAAGGTTCCAGGCTGTGTTCCTCTTCCCACGTGAGCAGGGGCTGCCCCCAGGCTTCCCTGGGGAGGAAGGCTTGAGACTGGGAAACAGAAACAGGCTAGATTTTTCAGCAAGGCAGCAGACAAAGTGGCTGTAAGATTGTACCCGGGAGGCTGTTCTGAGTACAGGGGACCCAGGATTACAGAGTGGTCCAGGTCTGTGAATCTCAGCCTGTGCTCCCTCTTCATAACCAACTCCATAACACGGTGGCAAGGAGGGTGGAAACCCAGGTAAGGGCGCCCACCCCTGGCCACAGCCCAGCACCCCTGATTCTACGCTCATCTCCCACATGTGGGATGGAAGTGGGGAGGGTCAGTTGGCCAGCCTGGGGCCCACCAGCCTGCTCTGGTGCCCCGTGCCTTCCTAAGACCTGACCCACAGCCTGTTTCCCGGGCTGCCCACCCATGTTCCCCATCTTCCTGGCCAGGTGCTCAGATGAGGTGACCCGCCAGCTCCAGGCCACAGCTGCCCACAGGGTGGGGCGAGATGGCATTGTGGCCACAAAGCTCTGCACCCACCAGGATGATGTGGCCATGACCAACGAGAGGCGGCTGCAGGAGCTGCCAGGTATGCAGGGCTGCCAGAACTGAGCAAGGCTAATGAGGAGGGGCCATCAGGCAGGTGTGGCGCCCACGTGGCCCAGCCCATGGGTCACTTGCTTGTCTAGGTCCCCAACCTCTGTGGCTACAGAGGCCCTCCCCTTTGCAGGTCTCACTGACACTGAGGGTGTGGCGAGCTGGTTCCAAAGCCCCCGCGAGGCCTAGGCTGCCCCTCCTTCATCCTGCTGTGCCCTGGTCTAATGGGTGTTTTTGGAGACCGAGCCCCAAGCGAGTGATTTGCAATCCGTTTGCCCATCTCTCTTCTTCCAGGTGAGATCCACACCTTTGAGGCGATGGACAGCGACCCCGAGCTGGCCCGTACCCTTGATGCCCAGTGTCCTGTTAGCCGGCTCCTCCAGCTCAAGAAGGGGGCCCAGGTGAGTGGGAGCTGGATAGACCTGGGAGTGTGGGCTGTCCAACATGTGCCTCCCTGGTCCTTCCCCCTGCCCAGGCCACTCTGCAGCCCGTGGACCCGGCTGTGGCCACACCAAAACCTCCCTCCTGACTCCACCTTCCTGACCTCCCTTCTCCCTGCCTCCTCCTATACCCGGAGCTCCTGCAGGCAGTGTTGCTTTGGGCGAGTCCCTTTCCCTCGCTGAAGCTCAGTTCCCTCATCTCTAAACTGGGAATGAGGGCCCAGCAGGTGGTGTGGTAGTTAAGGCACTAGAGTCCTACATGGTTACCTGCAGTTCAAGTCCCAGACCCAGCAGCTTGGAAAATATGCCAAGCACATGTATGCAGGCCCAAAATTCCTAAAAGAGAATGGGGTGAAGGGGAAGGGACTGTGATGTGGTTACTCAGCCAGGGGGATGATTTCTCATTTTCCCTCTTTCTCTCCCTCTCCCCCCCTCTCCCTCTCTCCCTCCTGGCAAGTGCACTTGCCATATGGCAAAAACCTAAAAAGAATTTTTTTTTAAATGGGAGTGAAATACCTACCTACACAGCTATCTTTGGTATAGATGTGAGTCCAGATTGCTCCTGAAGTTGGGCATGGTCCAAAGAGCACCCAAGGAGAAAGTGCGGGCGTGGAAGGGCTGGGCGGGGGCAGGCCCTAGGACATCCCTCCATCCCTCAAGATTTGTGGTCCACAAGCATCCCCCACAACAGATCGGGGAATTTTCTTTTTTCTTTTTCTTCAAGTTTACTTGTTTGTTTCCTCCATGAGCAAGAGAGAGCATGCCCTGCTAGAGTCCCAATGTCACCACCCACCCTCAGCCTTCAACCAGCTCTAGGTCGTGGGTATGTGCCCAACGTTCTCAGGGAGGTCTCTAGACTTGAACTGGGAACCTTCCCATGTGGGATGGCCTTACAGAGCATAGTGTTTTACTGAGTACCACCATTCATTCTTTCTTTTTTTTGGAGAGGTTTTCGCTATAGGGCGCATGCGCTCGCCAGACAGAGAGAGACATAGAGACCCTCCCCAGGGGGTAGGGTCACACCGCAATCCCTTCTCCTCCATTCTCCTCTCGGGATGTTGGGCACGCACGCACACGCGCCTGGCGTGGGTTTTAAGCCACTGGGTCCGGGACATGAACCGCGGTTGACTACATGGGAGTCCAGCAGCATAGTCATTATGCTAACTGCTGGTTCTCAATTCTTTCTTTTTTAAAAATGTTTATTTATTTTTATTTTAGTTTAGTTTAGGTTTTGCCTAGGGCATGTGCACTTGCCAGAGAGAGAGGGAGGGAGAAATCGCTGCTCGGGAAAATGGCTACGCTGTGTCCCTTCCCCTTCATTCTCCTCTTGGGATCTTGGGAAAGCAGGCCAGCATGAATTTTCATGCTGCCAAGTCTGGGACTTGAACTGTGGCCATGTGGGATCCAGCTGCCTTAACCTCCATGTCACCTGCTGGCCCAGTTCACCAGGTCTTGGGGCCAGGTGACTGGTGCCCGAGGGGTGGTGGTCGGCTTCCAGGTGGAGGGCAGAGGTAGGTGCTCAGGGCTGCAGCAGGCACTGGGCTAATGTGGAAAAAAAGGCAGAGATGGGGGCCCCTGCTCCTCCTCGGAGCCCTGATGCTAGACTGGAAGTTTGGGTTCCTCCATGCCTCTGCAGGGCTGTCCCAGGTTGGTCACACAGGATCCAGCTGCCTTAACCTCTATGCCACTAGCTGGCCCCATTTTTTTTTTTTTTAATATTTTACTTTTGCTGCTAGAAGACACTTGTTCTGCCAGAGAAAGCATCCCTGAGTGGGGCATGGTCATACCACAATCCTTTTTCTCCACTCCTCCTTCTCAGGGTTTTGGATGCACACACATGCCCAGCATGTTTTTTTTTTTTTAATTTCATTTTAACTTTATTTATTTATTAATTTATTTCATATTAATTTGACCAGAGAGGGACAGAGCGAGAGTGAGAGATAGAGAGAGAGAAATTGAGACAGCAAGCCACCAGGTCTGGGACTCGAACTGTGGTCTGCCATGTGGGAGTCCAGCACCCTTAACCACCACGCCACCTGCTAGCCGCCCCAGCATATTTTTTGTTTTTGTTTTTGTTTTGCTATAGGGCACTTGCGCTCACCAGAAAGACAGATAGAGAAAGAGAGAGAAAGTGAGAAATCACCTCCTGGGGGGATGGCCTTGCTGCAATCCCTTCTTCTCCATTCTCTCTCCTCTTGGGATCGTAGGCTTGCAAGCACACATGCCCGGCATGAGTTTAAGTCACCCGGTCCAGGACTTGAAGCATGGTCGACTACATAGGAGTTCAGCGACATAGCCATTACGCTAACTGCTGGTCCCTCCAGTATGGTTTTTAAGCTGCTGAGGCCAGGACTTGAACTGTGGTTGGCCCCGTGGGATCCTGTTACCTTAACTATTGTGCTTGGGGAGCAACCCTAGGATAACTTCTTTTTTTTTAAGAGATTTTTACTTTAGGGCGCGTCCTATAGTAAAAACCTCTCCAAAAAAAAAAAAAGAATTAAACTTTATTTATTTTAATTTGACCAGGGAGGGACAGAGTGAGAGAGATAATGAAAGTGAGGAAACAAGATGCCAGGCTAGGGACTCAAACCACAGTTGACCATGTGGGAGTCTAGCGCCCTTAACCACCACGCCACCTGCTGGCCCCAAACTTTATTTGTTATTATTATTATCGTGGATTTTGACCAGAGAGACAGAGAAAGGGACCGTTGGATCACTTTCAAAGCCCCGTAACATAAGTCACCACGTCTTTCTGGGCAAACTGAGCAAATGTAATTCCCTTTGACATTACAGAAAAAGACAGCTTGCCCCAAGGGTCACAGTGGGTAGCAGAGCTCAGGGGTGCACACGACAGCCCGCTGTGCTCGCCCTTGGAAAGGAGTGCTAGCTGCACAGGAGGCCGGGGGCGCAGGCGTGGGCCGCTCGCCATCGCACCGCCCGCTGTTCCCTCGCAGGTCATGCTGGTGACGGTGTCCCGAGGCCTGGTGAATGGCGCCCGAGGGGTGGTGGTCGGCTTCCAGGCGGAGGGCAGAGGTAGGTGCTCAGGGCTGATGCGGGCCCTGGGGTAATGTGGAAAGGAAGGGCCGGGATGGGGCTGCTCCTCCGTGGGCCCTGATGCCGGGCTGAACGGTTGGGCTTCTCCATGCCTCCGCAGGGCTGCCCCAGGTGCGCTTCCTGTGTGGGGTCACTGAGGTCATCCGTGCTGACCGCTGGACAGTGCAGGCCATGGGGGGCCAGCTCCTCAGCCGCCAGCAGCTCCCCCTCCAGCTGGCCTGGGCGCTATCCATCCACAAGAGCCAGGTGACACGCAGTGCGGGAGTGGGGACAGGGCAGGGCCCACAGGCCCCACCCAGAGCATGCTGGGGGCGTGTATCTTGAAGGCTTTGTAGCTGCTCTGAGTGGAAAGTTCCCGACCAGGAGTAGAGTGACTTAGTGAGTTTCCCAGCCCATCTCCTCTCCCTTTCTCCAATGCGTCCTTTTCCCCTTTGTCATTTCCTGCCCTGCCATTTTCTGAGCCACTGCCAGATACATTAACTTTCATTCTGGGCCAACTGGAGCCACTGCAGTTAGGGCAGCCAGATCCTACCTGGCCGACTTTGCTATTTGAGTCCTGGACCTGGGGGCTTTAAAAACACGCCATGCGCGTGCACATGTGTGCCCAAAATCCCGAGAGCAGAGGAGAAGGGATTGCGGTGTGGCCACCCCCTGCAGGGTGCTTTCTCATACCCCCGCCTCTCTCTGTCTCTCTCTCCAGTCAGTGCACATGCTCTCTGGCAAATGAAAACAATTTAATCCCTATAAAAACTGAAGTGTAGACGTAATTAGTAGTCACTCCTATTGTGCAGAGGAAGAAAGCAAGACCCAGAGAAGGTAAGGAACTTGTCCAAGGTCACACAGCCAGTGAGTGGCAGAGCCAGGATTCAGCTTAATGCCTGCCTAATCCAGATTCTTTTTTTTTTTTTGGAGAGGTTTTCGCTATCGGGCACATGCGCTTGCCAGACAGAGACAGACAGAAAGCGAGAAATTACCCCCCAGGGGGGATGGTCACGCCACAATCCCTTCCCCTCCATTCTCCTCTTGGGATCTTGGGCACACATGCACACACGCCGGCGTGAGTTTTAAGCCACCGGGACGTGAACCGCGGTCGACTACATGGGAGTCCAGCAACATAGCCATTACGCTAATTGCTAGTTCCCCCTAATCCAAATTCTTTTTTTTTTTTTTTGAGAGATTTTCGCTATAGGGCGCGTGCGCTCGCCAGACAGACAGAGAGAGACAGAGAGACAGAAAGCGAGAAATCACC